GTAGTAATAGTAGTAGTAGTAGTAAGAGTAGTAGCGGTGGCAGTCGTAGTAGTTGGGGTAGTAATCGCAGTGGTAGAAGTAGTAGTAGTCGCCGTAGTCGTAGTAGTAGCAGTAGTGGCAGTAGTTGTGGTGGTAGTAGTAGTAGTAGTAGCGACACCAGTACTGAATATAGTCGTTGTAGTTTAGTCGTAGTGGTACTAGTAATCGCAGCAATCTCAGTAGTAGTAGCATCGGTAGTCGTAGTCGTAGTAGCAGTCGTACTGGTAGTAGTATTAGTAATAGTCTTGATAGTAATCTTAGTAGCAACAGGAAGGTTATTAATCTGAGTAGTCGTAGCAATTGTAGTCACAGTCGTGGAAATAACGGTACTAACAAGTGGTAGTAGCCGTAAGCGTAGCCGTAGTCGAGATAATACGAGTGACAGAAGTAGTACTAGTAGTATAGTAGTAGTATAATTAGTAGTAGTAGTAGCAGTAGAAGTAGTATTAGTAGTAGTAGTAGTAGTAGTAGTAGAAGTAGAAGTGGTAGTAGAAGTGGTAGTCGTAGTAGTAGTAGTAGTAGTAGTAGTAGTAGTAGTAGTAATAGTAGTAGTCGTAGCAATAGTAGAGGTTGTAGTAGTACCAGTCGTAATGCCCGAAGTAGTGGTATTACTGATAATAGTGGTAGTGGTCGTAGTCGCAGTAGTAGAAAAGGTAGTCGCAGTAGTAGTAGTAGTAGTCGTAGTAGTAGTAGTAGTAGTAGTAGTACGTAGTAGTAGTAGTAGTAGTAAAACTAATAGTAGTAATCATAATCGTAGTAATGCTAGAACTGGTGGAAGTAGTAATCGTCGCAGTAGTAGCCGTGATCGCAGTAGCAGTAGTAGTAATAGTCGATGTCGTGGTAGTAGTCGTAGCAATCGGAGTAGTCGTAGTAGTCGATGTCGTGGAGTAGTCGTGGTGTTCGTAGTCGTAGTAGTTGTTGTAGTGGTAGCCGTAGTACAGCTAGCAGTGCTAGTAGTAGTCGTAGTAGTAGTCGTAGTAGTAGCAGGAAAAATAAGAGTAGTAGTAGTCGTTGTGTTAAGAATAGTAGTAGTAGTCGTAGGTAGTTGTAGTACTCGCGAAACTCGTAGCAATACTAGTAGCAGCCGTAGTAGTAGCCGTAGTAGAAGTATAATGAAGAATCTTGGTCGTCGTCGTAATATTCGTAATCGTGGAAATAATGGTGGTAATGGGAATAGTAGTAGTCGTAATACTAGTACTAATAGTAGTGGTAGTCGCCGTTGTCGTAGTCGTAGTAATAGTCGTGGTAGTAGTAGCAGTAGTAGTAGTAGTAGTAGTAGTAGTAGTAGTCGTAGTAGTAGTCGTAGTAGTAGTAGTAGAGGTTGCACAAATAGTATTAGTATTCGTATCAATACTAACAGTAATACCAGAAATAGCGTTAATACTAATAATCGTGGTAGTCGTAGTCGTCCTAGTAGTAGCCGTATATCGTAGTAGTAAAGCTAATGCTCATGTTGTGGTAGTAGCCGCACAAGTAGTAGTAATAATATATATTCGTGGTAGTAGCCGTAGTAATCGTAGTCGTCGTGGTCGGAGTACTCGTAGGGGTATACGTAGTAGTAGTCGTAGTAGTAGTTGTAGTACTAGTAGTGCTGGTAGTACTCCTAATAGTAGTAGTCGTAGCAGTAGTGAAAGAAGTCAAAGTGGTAGTAGTGGTGATAACAGAAGTGGTAGTAGTAGTAGTCGTAGATGTCGAAATCGTAGTGGTACTAGAAGTAATCGTAGTAAACGTAGTAGTAGTAGTAGTAGTAGTAGTCGTAGTCGTGGTAGTAGTAGTTGTCGCAGTAGTAATAGTAGTAGTCGTAGTAGTAGTAGTAGTAGTAGTAGTAGTAGTAGTAGTAGTAGTAGTAGTAGTAGTAGTTGTACGGGTATGACTGTTCGTAGTAATGATAGTAATAGTAGTAGTAGCAGTAGTAGTTGTAGTATCATTACTAGTCGCACATAGTAGTCGTACTACTAGTAGTAGTAGTAGTAGTAGTAGTAGTAGTAGTAGTAGTAGCAGTAGTAGTAGTAGTGGTAGTAGTGGTAGAATAATAATAGTCGTAGCAGTAATAGTAGTAGTAGTAGTAGTAGTAGTAGCAGTAGTAGTAATAGTAGTAGTAGTAGTAGTCGTAGTAGTAGTATCAGTAGTATAGTAGTAGTAGTAGTAGTAGCAGTAGTAGTAGTAGTAGTAGTAGTAGTAGTAGTAGTAATAGAAGTCATGTTATAGTAATCGTAGTCGTAGTAGTAGTGGTCGTCGTAGTTGCATTCGCAGTGCCAGCGGCACTAGCAGTCGCAGTCGCCCAATTTGGAAGTCCGAAGGCGAGGCATGGGTCCTCGGCGTACGCGGGCCAGAAGTTTTCGTCGAACAGGCCTGCCGCCGCCACTGCGCGCCGCGTGAGCACGAACGCTGGCAGGGTGATCGCGTGGAAAGATTGGCCGCGGATGGCGAAGCTCCGGAGCCCAGGGGCCAGGGGCCCCCCCCGCGACTCGCGCCGCAGGGCTGCCTCCGTCCTGGCCGCGATGAGGGACAGTGCCCCTGGAGGGAAAGCCACGTCGTGCGACGCCACAAGCCACCAAGGAGCCTGACAGGAATTCGATAACTGTACAAAGACACCGATTTTGGCCGGGACAATCCTGGGCTCAAACTTGGTGCAATTACGGTCGGGAACTTTTGCTTAGCGTGTCGCGGCGGCGGCCCGGGCGACACGCTATCCCTGCAATCGGATAGCGTGTCGCTCCGCTTTGCGGGGCGGAAAGCCAGGAATAACTCGGAACGTTGATGCTTGGTGACTTGGGGGACGTGGTTAGCGTGTCGCGCCGATGCGTGGTGTGCCAGAACCGGCGTCGCGACGTGCCAAGAAAACGTTCCTGACCGCACCGTGCGCCCTCCTGGCCCAGCCAGGGCAGCGCATACGCCGATCTTCGCTCCAAGGTGCGCCTGGTCAAGATCGGGGTCGATGTATATCGGGAGCGGCCAAGAGGGGGGTGTCCAAGAGGGGGGGGCGCAAATCATGACCGGCGGCATGTGCGCGGCCCAGCGGGGGGGCCAGGAACGTAATGAAATAAGAAGAGGCGCCATGAAATCTGAGGAAATATCATGGCCCGCGCCATGATATCCACCCCCCCCTAGTCATCACCCCTCTCTTTTCCGCTCCCGAGTATAGTTCGCGTCCCACCGACCTCGGGCACGGCCCCGATGACCTCGTTCCAGCCTCCCGCGCAGCCGAGGTTCTGCGCGGACTGGACCACCCGCACGTCGGCGCGGAGTTCCTGGGCCCGCCGGAGGAGCCGCTGCAGGTGCGCGGCCGGGCCGCTCGCGACGAGCACCAGCTGCTGCACGGGGAAGTCGATCGACCGCAGCAGCCTCGTGCCGTGGGGGCTTGTGGAGAGAGGGGAGTGGAAGAGATGAGGAGAGGGTGGGCACGGAAGAGGGCGGAGGGGAGGGGTAATGGGCGGGACAGGACGCCACAGAGGCCCGTGGCTCTTTCACGACGCGTGGGTGTCAGGCATTCCGGGCCTGCACGGGGGAGCCTAGAGATCCAAGTGCTGGTGAACAGCCTCCTTTGGCGCGGCGACGCGAGCGGACCACGAAAAGCCTGTGGGAACGTGCCCTGCCGCGACCGAGTGAGTCGCTACACTTTGTTCTTGGCACGCGGGCGCACGAAGCGAGTCGGACGCCGAGCAAGCAGGGGCAGGCCGTGCCACCCGCGAAGGCAACAACCGAGCAGAGACCAGAGCCTGGTGCGGGGCGGAGCGTTCCCGTGCGGCACGCCGTGGAGAGGGGAGCCCAGCTGGCGGAAGCGAGGGTGCAGAAGCACCGCCGAGCCCGAGTGTGCTGTACACCGGAAGGGGGGGGGCACAGAGAGCGGCTGCGGAGGAGGGCGCGCCCACGGCCTGACGCACCTCGCGGGTGGTGTGGGCAGCATCAGGCTCGGCCCCGTGACGGGCTGTCCCCCCGTCTGCGCAAATAGGCCGTGCCTGAGGCACAGGGCCCACCACCACCACCACTACCACCATAAGTTGGAGGGGGAGGGGGTCCTCCTCTTCCTCCTCCTCCTCTTCGTCGTCCTCGTCCTCCTCATCCTCCTTCCCTCCTTCAACTTATGGTGGTGGTGGTGGTGGTGGAAAACAAGCCCATCATTAAAGCGATAGAGGCCTGCCTATTTTGTCAGCCAGGGGCTCCGCAGGCCAGCGATCGCTACTCGAACTTGTGTTTTGCCATTGCTGGGGCCGGGCAACGACAGAAGCCCAGACCCTTGACGTCGTGATTTCTCGATGCGGAGCCCACGGGAATCCTGACCCACTCCTGGGGCCTGCTTCGCACTCTGGGCCGTCGCCTTTTGCTGACTGCCCAAAAGCCCGAAAACTGCCCCCCCAGATGCTCAAACACTCGGGACTCCGCGGTCTGCATTTCTGTCACGGCGTTGGAGGTCTGGCATCGGCGGTCTCAAATCCCCCAGCGGATCTGTCCCAAGGAGCGTTCTGGGCCATGCATCTCTGGCAATACACCTCGAAGCGGAGCCGTGGCCACGAGGACGCGCCAGGCAACACATCTCGAGGCGGAGCTGGCCGTGGCCATGTGGGCGCGCGAGGATGCCCAGCACGGGCCAATGCTGTGCAAAAGCATCGAGCCTCGCTGGCAAGCCTCGGCTAACTTCGAAACGGACCCACCCCTGGCGACGAGGGTGCTTCGTGGGTGCCAGCCCTGTCCGAGAATCGACCTCTGGCCCCGAGCTCGGGGGCAGGCAACATCCCCCCGTTTGCAAAGCATCCTTTCGTGAAAACGGCCTGGGGTCAGACCCGCAGTCATTGCGAGCGCAGCGCCCTCTCGAAGATCGAGAAACTGCGCTTCGCTAATCGACTTGGCAGCGTGGGGGTTCTACCGACCTCCGGCGATAGAGGCCTCCTGGATGGGGTCGGAGCAGGTGGGGTCGGAGGATCGCCCCGCACCGCCGATGCATCTCCGATGCATCGGCGACGCATCGGCGATGTCAGCGTGGAGCGAATCGGGCTCCGCATCCAGACGCATCGCCGATGCATCGGCGATTCGGCGCGATCCTCCGACCCCACCTGCTCCGACCCCATCCAGAAGGCCTAGATCGGTGGCGAGCGAGGGGTGGCAGTGAGAAGGGGCGTGCCTTCTCAGGAGACTCAGAGGTCCCCCTCCCCGAAGGCACAGAACACCTCTGAGAAGGCCCGGGGGCTTCCGAGAAGCCCCGCCGCCATTCTGAGGAGGCCTTCTCCCTCTCGCTTCCCCCCCTCGCCCGCTGCCGGCCATGAGTGCTACCGAGCCCCGACGCGCCCCTTTTTGTGCGCGCTTCCGCGTGCGGCCCTCCTCCTCCGCCTCCTCCTCTTGATCCACTTTGCTGGCGCAGCGCTTCACCCTCCGTTCCGCGCCGCTGCTCGAGACTGTGCTCCCGCCCGCGCGCCGGACGGCGTACGGCTCGTGAGCGGGTGAGCGCATTCGGCGGGCGCGAAGGGGCCCTGGGACACACAAAGAAATACACAAACAAAAATATTCCCCATCTTTTCCTACACATTTTCTGGGTGTTTGTCTTCCCCACCACTTCCCATAGTTTCCCTCGTTTTCTGGAGGATCGACGATGAATCGTGTCTGTGTGTTTTTTTCCCTCCTGAAGGCGCCGCCCCCGCGGCCTGAGGGACAGGCCCGCCGGGTCGAAGGCCACGGGCCAGCCCAGCACGGGGATGGCGCCCGCGGCCTCGCTGCGCGACCCCTCCAGGGCCAGCTGCCGGCGCACCTGGCCAGCCGCCGCTGCTCTTTCCTCCTCCTCCTCCTCCTCCTCCTCCTCCTCCTCCTCCTCCGCCTCCTCCTCCTCCTCCTCCTCCTGCTCCTCCTCCTCCTCCTCCTCCTCCTCCTCCTCCTCCTCCTTCCTCCTCCTCCTCTCTCCTCCTCTCCTTCCTCCGCCTCCGCCTCCGCCTCTCCTCCTCCTCCTCCGCCTCCTGTCCCTCCCTCCTCTCCTCTCCTCCTCCTCCTCCTCCTCCTCCTCCTCCTCCTCCTCCTCTCTTCCTCCTCCTCCTCCCTGCCTTAATCCTCCTCTCTCCTCCTCCTCCTCCTCCTACTCTCTCCTCACCCTCTCTCCTCCTCCTCCTCCTCATTCGCTCCTCCTCCTCTTCCTTTCCTCCTCTGCTCCTCCTCCTCCTCCTCCTCCTCCTCCTCTCCTCCTCCTCCTCTCCTCCCCCCTCCTCCTCCCTCCTCCTCGGCGGGTCGCCCGCGGCCCCGGGGGAGACAGTGCACCTCCCGCCTGCCGAGTTCAGACGAAGCCAGGACGAGGGTAGCATCGGGTGAGGATAGATTTAGGTCGGGTCTGTCCCACTACAGGCGAGCTTTGGAGGACACATACAAAAACAGTAAAGAACACATCAAACGCGGTCAGGAATCATAGAAACATCATCCCCAGACTCTTTGAACCTATTTTGGAATATTCCTCCTGCAGAGGGACATGCCCGACTTAAGGATAAATCGAGAGTCTCTGAAATATCGCGGCTCTGGAAGATGTCTCGAGCGCCGCGGCCCTCTGAGTCATTCTGGAACGCTCTGGGAGCGTTCCGGAACGCCCTGGCACGGAGTCATCCTCGTCTGAGCCCCGTCCGACGAGCTTGCCTCTGACCTCACAAGCGGCGAACATGTCCGGTATCCGCGCCGTCGCGGTCTGGACTCTGGGGCGCGATCCCGGGGATAGGATGCGCGGTCGCACAAAAACGCTCCGCGCGGGGCATCCGAATAGAAGCGCCCCTCTTCCGCGAGTTCGCAGCCCAGGGGTCCGGCCCGCGAGGCCGCGGACGCGGATATGGCTTTCGCCTACGATGACCCCCGACGGCATGATTCTGCAGGTGATCGAGTCTTTTTGGGAGCCTGTGGGACCTCGCCAGCGGACGAGGGGGGAAGAAAGTAGGGGAAAGGGGAGGAGGACGGGGGATGGTGAGCAGGACGAGGGAGGAGGATATGTGGAGGGAGGGAGTGGGGGGGGGGCTGGAGCAGGGGGGGAATGGAGTGGGGCGGGAGTGTGAGGAACGAGAGGTGGGTGACAGAGGGGAGGTGAGGCAGTGGAGTGCTTGGGTGGAGGAAAAAGCCGGGGTCGTGACGAGCCTCCCTGTCTGCCCATCGCCCTCCTCGTCCTCCTCGTCCTCCTCCTCCTCCTCCTCCTCCTCCTCCTCCTCCTCCTCCTCCTCCTCCTCCGCTAGGCTATCCCGTCTCCCTGCTCCCTCTTCCTTTCTCCTTGCTCGCACACTCCTTCCTCGCTCCCCCCTCATTACTCCTCCCTGGCCTACTCCCTCGCTCCCTCGCTCCCTCCCTTTCCCTCCCTCCCCCTACCTCCTTTGATCCCTCCCCCCCCCCCCTTATTGTTCCTCATGTTCCGCCTCCTTCCCTCCCCATCCATCCCCCTCCCTCCCCCTCCCTCCCTCCCTCCCTCCCTCCTTCCCTCCCCTCACTACCTCCCCTCCCTCCCTTCCTCCCTCCCCTCCCTCCCTCCCCTCCCTCCCTCCCTCCCTTCCTCCTCCTCCTCTCCTCCTCCTCTCCTTGCCTCCTCCTCCTCTCCTCCTTCCTCCTCCTCCTCCTTCCTCTCCTCCCTCCCTTCCTTCCTTACTCTCTCACTCTCTCCCTCCCTCTCCCCCGCTCCCTCCCTCGTCACAATTCCCGGTCCTCCTCCACTCATCCTGGCCTCCTGGAGGCGTGGGGCAGTCGAGATGACGATGACCCTCCCTGTCGTTTTTCGACGGAAAGGGCCTGGACGCTTCTCGTCGCTCTACGACACGCCTCGACCCATGGGCCAGGATGCACCCCAGGAGGGGGGCCCGGGGACCGATGTGGAGCAAATCTCTTGCCGTTCTCTTCTCTGTCTTCTCGCCCTCCTCGTTGGAGGCTGGCTCCTGGTTGCAATCAACATGTGGGGCCTCTGGCTGAAGGCTGGCCCCCGGCTCTTTGAGCATCACCCTCGTCCTCCCTCTCTCCTCGAGAGCGGTCCTCCGGTGGTGCATCCTGTCCCGTGTCTCGAACTGGCTCCAGCCGTGGTGACGAGAGGCCTCCGGGAGGCCCACAAGGACGAGTGGCGCCAGGGAGAGCGGAGCCTGCCTCAACTGGCCCTCCTCCCCTCCTCCCTCCCTCATCCCCCTCTTTAACCCCTCCTCCCTCCTCACCCTTTCCACCCTCCCTGCCCCCCTCCTCCTCCCTCCTCCCTACCTCCATCCGCCTTCTTGTGTCGTTGCGTTGGGCTGCCCGGGAGCTCAAGACCTGGCACCCCTTCGTTGGGAGGGCTGGGGGAAAACTGAACAAGGGTTCCCCCCTCACGCACGTGGTGTGCGTCACCTGCGAAGGCACAGCGACCGAGCGAATGCCATGTCCGACCACCCAACCTACCTCCCTCTTCTCCATGCCTCCCCCTCCTCCTCCTCCTCCTCCTCCTCCTCCTCCCTCACACACAGCGAACCAAACAATCCGAACAGGCTGGTCAAACGTGCCGACGCGCTCAAGGATGCCCAGAAGAGGGTGAGAAAGAGAGAGAGAGAGAGACAGATAGAGAGAGAGAGAGACATCGAGAGAGAGAGAGGGAGGGAGAAAGGGCAAGACCGCGATGGGGAAGCAGTGCCTTCCCCCCCCCCATGCCTCCCTCTCCTCCCTGCCTCCTCCTCCTCCCCGCCTCCTCCTCCCCTGCCCCCTCCTCCTCCTCCTCCTCCCTGCCTCCTCCCTGCCCCCATCCCTCCCTGCCTCCTCCCTGCCCCCTTCTCCTCCTCTCTGCCTCCTCCTTTTCCTTGTCCTGTTCCTGTTCCTGTTCCTGTTCCTTTTCCTCCTCCTCCTCCTCCTCCTCCTCCTCCTCCTCCTCCCCCTCCTCCCTGCCTCCTCCCCCTCCCCCTCCTCCCCAGCCCCCTCCGGGCACCCGCGCCAGCGTCCCGCGCGCCCGCGCGGTCCGGTTCTCCGCCGCCCGGCAGGCCCAGCGCAGGCGCGGGGGGCACGCCCCTGCCACCTCGAGCACGGAGGCGCCCGCGGCCCGTGCCAGTCCCTCGAGGGTGTCCTCGCGGAGGCAGGGGGCGGAGCGCGCGGAGGGGCGCGGGGGCAGGGCAGGGAGGGCCCTCGCCGCGTCCCGCGGAGGCCCTGCAGAGAGGGGAGGAAGCAGGGGGGAGCGGGGGTGGGGGAGAGGGGGGGGGGGGAGGGGGAGGGGGATTGAGGGGGAGGGGGAGGGGGAGGGGGAGGAGGGAGGGGGAGGAGGAGGAGGGATGTAGGCGGTAGGTGAGAGGAGGAGGAGGAGGAGGAGGAGTTAGGCGGAGGACGAGGAGGAGGAGGAGGAGGAGGAGGATCGGAGAGGAGGAGGAGGAGGAGGGGGAGGGGGAGGAGGAGGAGGAGGAGGCTGATGATGATTCTGCTGCTGTTGATGATGACGATGATGCTGATGATGATGACGATGATGTTGATTATGCTGATGATGATGCTGATTTTGATGATGATGACGACGATGGTGATGACGACTACTATTATTATGATGATGATGATGATGAAGATGACGACGATGCTGATGATGGTGATGATGATACTGATGGTGGTGATGCTGATGAGGAGGAGGACGAGGGAGAGGAGGCAAGCTAGGTGCGCTCCCTTCATGTCTGACATCCTACCCCTCCCTCCCATCCCTTACCATGGCGTAGATCCCTTCTCTACTCGCACAGTCGGATGTCGAGCAGGGCAATGATCCCGAAAGGGTACGCGATGCATTGTAGAGCACGGCACGGCATTGCTCAGAAGAGCACCGCAAAGCGTAGTATCAACCTAGCATTGCATTGCATGCCGTGGCATGGCACGGGAGATGACGCCAGCGCTGCAGCGGGAGCACGAGTCGGCACGAGCGGAAGCGCGGAAATGAGGCCAGCGCTGCAGCGGGAGCACGATTCGGAACGAGCGGGGCCCGAAAATGAGGCCGGCGCCTCAGCGAGAGCAGCATTTTGAAACAAATGCAGGCGAAAACCCAACTCCGGGGAAACCTGTGTAAAAAACAGTACGCGGGGGGGGTGAGCACTTTCAAACCGTCATCAGGGGAAGAGGGAGAGTAGTATTCATATTGAGTAATTGTGGAGGAGGATGAGGCGGAGGAGGAGGAGAAGGAGGAGGAGGAGGAGGAGGAGGAGGAGGAGGAGAAGTACGGACCGAAGAGGGGGAGGAGCGGAGGAGCGGGAGGAGGATTGGTCATGGGTTGTCGATCAGGACGCGGGTGAGGCCTTACCTGTTTCTTTTTTAGCTTCTTTTTTTTTTGCATTAGTGCCCCAGGCGAAGACCAGGTGGAAACCAGACCCACCGACAGGCGAAATCAGGATGGGAAGGGTCCCCCGCCTCTCCAGGCGGAAGCGACACCCACCGACGGGCGAGAGAAAACCAAGTGGAGGCCACACTCCACCGACAGGTGGAAGCCGCACCAGGAGGAGGAGGAGGAGGAGGAGGAGGAGGAGGAGGAGGAGGAGGAGGAGGGGGAGGAGGAGGGGGAGGGGGAGGAGGAGGAGGAGGAAGAGGAGGAGGGGGACCGATGCCCACCGACAGGCGAGGGACTGGGTGGAAGCCACGGCCACCGGCGGGCCGGCGCGACCACCCAGGCGGGGCCTGCGGCTCGCCCACCCCGACGGGTGGTCAGAAGTAACGCACTTCGCTGAGGCGGCTGGGCCTTGGCATTACCAGCCTGGAACATATCCCTATCCCTATGCTGGGATCCACGTCGGATCCACGTCGGATTTACGTCGGGCCCACGCACGTCGGATTACGCCAGAGCAGCGCCGCGCGAACGTCGACCCATCTTTCACGGAGCGGACGTCTCGACTGTACGATGCCACTGTTGCGCGCCGCGCAGGGTCTCCAGAATCGTCCTCATGATTAGCTCATGCGCTGTCGGAGGGGGAACAGCTTGTTCCAGCACATTGCCAGCCTGGAACATATCCCTATCCCTATGCTGGGACCTCCTCATCACGGTGCCAGTCTCAGGGATTCCCTTATTTCTTGAGGGCGCATCCCTAAGATGGTCATCGCCTCTTGGCGTGTCTACCTTAGGGATAGGGATACGCTCGAGGCCGGTAATGGTATGAGGAACCACCCCGTGCTGGGGGGAGGGGGAATCAGTGGAAGCCACACCCACCGACAGGCGAACTGAAGAACCGGTGGAACCCACGCCGACCGACAGGCGAATAGACCAGGTGGAAGCCACGCCCACCGGCAGGCGAAAGGGGACCCGGTGGAAGCCACACCCACCGACAGGCGACACCAGGAGAAGGGCGGCCCCACGACTGTGAAGCACGCCGATCCCCCCGTAAGGAGTGGGAGGGGCAGGAGGAGGGGAAGGAGAGGCAGGGGGAGAACGAGGATCGACGAAAGAAGTGTGATCGAATGAGCCCAACATTTTTGAGGCCCCCGCGGATGTCTCGGATCGGCGCGGACTCCTCTGGCGGCGCCTCTGATGCCGCCCCTGGCGCGCTGGAGGAGGACGAGGGGCAGGAAGAGAACGATAATTGGCAAATGACAGAAGCCACATGGCAATAGACTTTCGGCTTTCGGAGGTCCTTGGAGACCAGAAGCACTACATCGCCGTGGCGAAGGTTCACACCATTCGTGCCTCGCAAAGGCAGCGATTCTGAGAAGTAGGCGGCGTGGCGACCGTTTACACCAGCCCTGGTTCGCAATGACAGCGGTTCCGCGAAGCAGGCGGAGCAATACATACCCCGAGTGATGACGCATCCCGTGCGACGAATCGTACGAGGATGTTTCGTGAGCTCTGGTGGCTCCGCGGCGTCGTGTGTTTCAACGCCTATGACGTCCGCGCACCGCCACCAGCGATGCGTGGCCAGGCCCCTCCTGGGCTTGAGCCCGCAGACAGACTCTCCTGGCATATAACCTGCTATGGTCTGCGCCCGTTCCAAGGTTCGTGGTTGGCCTGGTGGTAGTGCAACTGGTGATCGTTTTCTTATCTGGCGTTTCGACTTTGGGCGGATGGGGAAGGGGGAAGCGGGGGGTCTGGCTCCGGACCTCTGCCTAATGCGACTGTTTGCAGCAATGTGTCCTATGATGAGACTCCACCTGCTCGAAACAGGCGCCCAAACCAGCCAAGATCTGCTCCATTGGGGGGGGGTAGGGTGCGAGGGCCCGCGCCGATCGCCGAAACAATGAATAAGAAAACGCTCACCAACACCGTTGATGCTGTCACTTGTCTCAGAGCGGCCGCCCAGCCGCCGCCGCCGGAGGAGGAGGAGGAGGGGGTGGAGGAGGAGGAGGAGGAGGAGGGGGAGAAGGATGATAATGATGATGATGATGATGATGATGATGATGATGATGATGATGCTGATGATGATGATGATGGTGATGATGATGTTGATAATGATGATGATGATGATGATGATGATGACGATGATGATGATGTTTATACTGATAATGATGATGATGATGATGATGATGATGAAGATGAGGATGATGATGATGATGATGATGATGCTAATGCTGATGATGATGCTGATAATAATGATGATGATGCTGATGATGAGGATGAGGATGAGGATGATGAGGATGGATGATGATGATTGATGATGATGATGATGATGATGATGATGATGATGGTGATGGGGGAGGAGGAGGAGGAGGAGGAGGAGGAGGAGGAGGAGGAGGAGGAGGAGGAGGAGAGGGGAGGAGGAGGAGAGGGAGGAGGAGGAGGAGAGGGAGGAGGTCGCTGGTGCTGGTTGCCGGTTCCCGATGTCTGGCGTCGAGTGGGCGCAGCACCGCTCAGCGCTCGTCAGGAGAGAGGAGCGGCTGCCGTCGGGCATGACGGCGCGGTGGCCCCAGCACCGCGGGTTGCCGCCAGGCCCCAAGGCCTCGGGTGAGGTCGGGCACGTCCTCCTCCAGTGGATTTTTTCGACGAGACATAAACAAATACGGCCACAAAGCTTAAACATCTGCGAACATTGTCACAAACATCGTCCGCAGACAAATTGTTTTGACTATTTTTGCATACCGTGAAAACGCATAGTAAGCACGCGTGGTAGGGACGCAAGACCCTTGGAGGCCGAAACTGAAGTATTCTGGGCGGCAGGCGGCCAAAGCCCCAAGGAACCCGAGAAACTCGCCTGCGAAGATTGCTGGGGACGGGCCGGAGAGGCTGAGGCCGGCAAGGACCCAAGGGCATCCTTGAAAAAATCGTTTGTCCTTACTATGCGCGTTGACTGTATTCCTCCTGTAGAGGGGCGTGCCCGACGTACGCCTCGGGGGGCGCCCGCCGACCGCCCGCGCCCACCGATCACGCCCTCCGGCCCAGGGCCTCGGCTCGGTGCACGCGCGCTTCCGGGAGGCGCACCCGCGCCCAGAGGGGGTCGGTCCTCCTCCCTCCTCCTCCCTCCTCCTCCCTCCTCCTCCTTCTCCTCCTCCTCGCTCCTCCTCCCTCCTCCTCCCTCCTCCTCCCTCCTCCTCCCTCCTCCTCCTCCCTCCTCCTCCCTCTTCTTCCCGAAGCCGTGGAGCCCCCCTCTGAGGGCACAACTGTCCACGCGGGAAGTCCCTACGCAAGGGGGACAACAACAGCTGGAACTTTCCCAGCCACACCTGGTAGGTAGCCTTGGCTCATCCTTCGGACGGCCCGCCTGCCCCACTCTCCAGGCTTGCAGCACGGGGCGAGGAATCCCTTGAGTTGCTTCGAACTGTGAGCACCACAGAGCGTACACGCAACAACGGGATGGGCCGCATCCTGAAGGGGCTCCTCAACCCTAAAAACGACTAAACGATGCACCTTCAAACCCTGCTCGTGCAAGCGCTCATTGGCATCACGCGCACGCGTCGAGATCGACCCAGGGCAGACCTCGGACACGGGGGCCACGGCTCGGCAGCGAGCACACCAGGGTCGCCTTGACGGTCCTCTTAAATCACGAGGCAGCTGGGCAGGGATGACCGAAAGGAGAGGGGGCGCGCTCACACGCGTGCGGCGCGTCACGTGCGTCGTGTCACGCCCGTCAACATGCGCGCCAACCTCCCCAATCCTGTGACTAACCTGCTCCACGAACTGCTCAGCCTGCTGCATGCGCATCCTATCCTCCACAGGCGCACGCGCAAGCTGGCCTCCAAACTTCGCCCAGACGTCGGCGTGGAAGTTGCCAAAACGGTCACGACGTGTGATGCGGCCCGCATCCACGTCAGCAATCGTGCAGTGACTCTTGACTTTACGCACCGAAAGGCCAGCCTCGCAAAGGCCGCCGAACTCAGCCAGGGCCTTCCAGAAGACCCGCCAGAGGCAAGCCCAGGCCGAGGAATAGGCCGTGGTGGCCTCTTCTCCTCTCTCGGTCACTCCACGAAACACAAAATCCGAATCAGTAACAGCCGTGACTGGAGGCAACGAATTCTGGATCAAAAATATCAAGGCCTCCAATGCGGCCCCGTCGATATCAAACACACACTGCGAACAAGTGCAGTACGCAATGTCGACTGCGCCGAGAGGGGCCTCATCGCGCAAAGTAACGACGGCCCAGCCTGTACAACTCAAACAACTCCACTGGCCTTCAAAGGCCGAACCGTCCAGGTAGGCTTCCTTGGCAATGAGGACCCCCGGCCCCGCATGTTGATGCCAGACCGCCGTGTCCTGGGCAGGGGCCCTCCACGAGGTCCGCGGGATGGGCCAAAGCGCCCTCTCCAGGAGCACGCGGACCTGGGACCGACCCTGAGCCTGAACCAGCGGAGTAAACGCATCAGGGCAAGACAGCTCCTGACACAAATCACACTCAAAATGCCTGTGGACAAGAGTACCAGGTTTGCGACACATGAGGCACTTGTTGCTCAGTGCTTTCCTAGCCTCAAACTTCCTGACCATGGGCCACTGCCCGCCAACAATGCACGAACGAAAGTGCGCACGCGCCTCGGGCCCCAGGGTCGGACGGTCCCGATTTTGCACACAGCGAGGCCGTCCGCTAGAGACAGCTTGGACCAGGGGCAACAAAACAGCGCCAAACTCCAGATGTTCCAAATCATCGTGCTTCGCCACCTGTCGCCACTGCCAGGCCGTGGCGGCCTGCACTAGATAGCGACGAATCACGCGAGGACAAAGCACACTGATGTCAAGGTCTAAGCCCTCGTGCGTGGTCCACTGAAAAGCAGAGCGAATCGACCATCCGACACGCGCCAGCGACAGCCGACATGCACTGAACGGACCTGATACTTGGGTCCAAAGAGAGACCGACGAACTTCCTTCCAGCCCATCCCGCACCACATGCCTCGGCACCCACCCCTCCCATATAGCTCGGCAGAGCGTGAGCACAGGCATCAGAGTAGCTCGAAGGATCGGGTCGGCATCCTTCTCGCACAACAAGGCTAAAGTGCGGGACTTCCCAGCGGTAGCCCCAGTGAGACACGCAAACGCAGTGCTACGCATAGTCTCAAGGTTCGAAGTCGAGCATCCCGTGACGTTCATCCCATACGACAGACTCGCCTCCAAACCCGAACGAGCAACCTTCCGAACTCCTAGACGCTTCTTCTGTACAGTGCGAATGAGGCCAATCCGCCTCAGGCGCTGACGAGCGCCCAGAAGCCGTGATTTGCGTACTGCATGCCCGACACGCCGCCCACAAGAGAAGTCAATACCAAGATTGCGCTCATGCAGCGTGGCTATCGTGCCCATTTTCGCTTTCAGACGTCGTACAACCTCATCGCGCACACACTGCTCATTGCACAAAACACGTGACTTGTCAACATGTACACGTAGGCCCACTGCAGCGAGAGCCTCCTGGAGATCTATCGACGCCTGGACCAGTTCTCGCGTGACTCGAGATTACGTACCAATCCTGTGCAATAGCAAATCGTCGACAACGACGGTGGGGACGACTGTTCGATGCATTCTGTACATAGCGCCAAGCGGCCGAGTAATCATATCAACTTGAGCATGCAAGTGGCCCAGCCATCCCCTGGTAGAATGGTCTGCTCGACCACCAACGGCGACGAGACAACTTGGCCCAAGCAACAAAATCGCTCAGCACGATATAACTCAACGTTCAACTTGAGCTGCCAGAGAGGGAATCCGGTAGCCACTGCAGCCTCCAAGAGCCAATGATGTTCCACTTGCTCACAGGCTTTCATCAGATCCAAGAGAACCAGAGACCCAAATGCCCTTAGTGGAGCCTTTAGTCTTAGTAGTCACATATTCAGACCAGGCCGTCTGCTGCCAGACGGCTCGATCGCACGATCTCCCCTTGGAGGCCCAGAAATACGATCGATCATTGCGGGACTCCCACTCTCGAGCTATCGGGCGGCGGAGGCGTGCCTGAACCCGAGCCAGCACGTTAATTAGTGCTATGGGGCGCACACCGCCCAGGCGCTTGGACAGGAAGGCGATCTTCGAGGCAAACTTCGGCCACTCGGCCGACGCCTCGACGGCCGTCAGGATGTCGATAAACACTTCCAGAGCAGGACCGCACAACATGGACAACTGCTGCGGCCTAATCATGCAGAAACTCATGCCAGTGTGCTTGGGAAAGGTGTTCAAAACTTTTCGAAGATGTTCGACACTTGGACGCTCAGGGCGAGTTCCTAGATCCTCAGGCCACCTGAGGCCCTTGTGCCACTCTCCGGCCCTCCACCACCTGCTCCACTCCTCCTGTATCTTATCCACCTGCTGGTGCCGATCTCGAGGACGAAACAACGACTCAGTGCTGGTGTCATGAAAGCCCACAGGGAGCTTTGTGATTCTGTGGAGCCCTCCAGCCCCTCCGACAGCTTGCTCACCAACCCAGGCTCGAAACTTAGCTTGACGTTGGTTTTCATCACTTTTGGCCAGCTTGAGGGCCACCTTCATAGTAATGTTCGCCAGGACCCCGAGGATCTCGCAATCCCAGAACCCGGCTCCGAAGATCTGGAAAAATCCCCACCATTCGCCAGCAGGTCCTGCCCCTGTCTGCACACTAGCAGGCGCCGTCGCTTGCTTACGTGCAAGAGCACGCAAGGCGGTGACTCGAGTGAGCGGCTGAGCAGAGCAGGACGCAAAGTGCAAGCTGGCCGAGACTGCCCGCAGCCACAGAGTTTCAGGAGACGCTTTCGGGAACTTGGGGACCTTCGGCGCCAGCACAGAGACCCACTTGGGACATAGTGGCTGATCTCGACCCTGGTATTTATGCGCATCTTCTCCTGCAACATCAAATACATCACACAACTCGAACTCTGCCTGTCGAAGAAAACAATTCCATGCATGCGACAGCTCAGGGCGGGTCGACGTGCTCGCTGGGGATCCGTTATGCTGGCACTCCATCAACTGAGCTTCCAGCTTCTGAGCGATATCCGCCCAAGCACTATCATGCTCTCCACGCTGGCAACCAATGGGGCGGTCAACAGGAAAAGCACGAGGCACAGGAACAATGCACACACGCGGCCTCACTGTATCACTCGAGATCTGCAACTGAACAGGCACGTGCGAGCGCGTACTTATCTGAATGTCCACCAGAGCCTCGACCTTGTCAACCACCAGCTGATTCGATACAACGAAGAAATCAATCGTTCGACCACTGGAGAAAGTAGCCACAGTAGAATGAGACATGCCAGCTTCGAAGTACTTCAAAATCCCCGGCTCGCGCACATCATCTGGTGTGCAGTTGAAATCACCTCCAATAATGTACGGCATATTGACTCCACGAAGGCGCTCAGCCAACTTCATCAGAATCTGAAAGTTCGAAGCGCCCATGCCTTCACCGCTGATGAGGTGCACGTTCACTACTAGGACCCCATGCTTGGCAAAGCCAGAATGACACATCATAGATACTCTACCAGGGACAAGGACCTCTGTGGACATAGTCTCTAACTTCGC